CCCCAAAACCCCAAAACCCCAAAACCCCAGATTTTACTGTACAGATTGAAGTTTTAGGGCTAAGAGGAAGAGAGGTTGAAGTAGTGAGCTTGGGTTGGTGAAGAGGGATTTTGGGAGGTTGGGGGATGAGGGATTTGGATTGATGGGGTTGGGTTGGAAGTGTGGCTTATGGTTGGAGAGGGGTTGTTAAGGGGATGTTGAGGGATGGGTTGTTGAGTATGTAAGGTAAAATTAAAGCTCAGCTCATTGAGACTTCTTTGGTCATCTTCATGATCAGAATATCTTTGTCTGGCGAGCCTTTCTTTGATTAAACTTGTTTGATCTTTATATATTTTCCATTCCTTTCATATTAATTGCATGAATGAAATTATCGACATAGAAATAACGATGAGAATGCTAATTTTCAAAACAATCGCTTTCAAATTAAGTCTAGCATCAATCTGTTCTCCTGAATAATTGGTGATGATATCGTCGAACTCTGTGCAATGTGATGTGTCATTGCCCACATATGGGAACATTAAATACTGGGCTATCCGTGTCCTGATGCATCTGGATTTATTGTAGAAGGCTTCTTGCCCTTTGATTTTAATGATATTCTCAATAGTTCCGAAGCTTATTTTTGCGTATCTGAGTTCAAGTTCGCGGAATCCATAATTCATCTCGGATATTATCCCTCTTGCAGTGTGCCTTGATTCATCCATTATATATGCCATAAGATATCGAGTGTCAGATCAATCGTATCTATGACATGCAAAGAGTTGTGCAAGAACAAACTTTATTGTCTCCAATATCAGCTCTAACGGGAAATTAAAATTAGTGAGTCCAAATTGATCATCCTGGCTACTCCTAAAACAACAAGTGTAATTTTATGATTCCTCTGGATTCAACGAGTAAGGTCAGGAACATCTAGCCTTGCCTTTGAAACAAAAGACAAAAGCGGACCTCCTTCCCAAGCCTCACTTGCCAAGCCAGGGCCTATGACCAAGCAGACCAAAAGTAGTATTTTCCACATATTTTTATTATTTCATCAAAATTTCCTGTTCTAGGGGTTTTGGGGTTTTGGGGTTTTGGGGTTTTGGGG